CGGTGGCTGAGGCCCCCCCCAGCATCACAGCAACACAACAACAGCGCAACAACGCAACAGCGCAACATAGCCTCCCACCCAACAACATAACAATACAGCCACACAGCCCTTCCCCCAGCAACAGAGCAACAGACGACAGATGAACGACGCAACGAACAACCTAATCAGAGCCCCCCAGCAACAGAGCGACAGAGCAACGATTCCGGCGTACCCCTCATATGCTTCGTGGCCCCACAGGGGACTCAACCGAAGGCTTCGGGCAAATTTCTACACAACCCGTGGTGGTTTCGTGGCCTCACGAGGGGGGATTCACCGATGTTTTCGGGCCGATCTCGGTGCATCCCTGGCACGTTTCGTGGCCCCACAGTGGCTCCACCGAAGGCCTCAGGACCCTTTCTTTTTTACCCTCATACGATTCGCGCCCCCACAAGGACGGGGTTCCGCTGAGGGCCTCGGCCCATTTCGGCGCACCCCTCACACGTTTCGTGATCCCAGAAGAGGTTAAAGCGAACGCCTCATGCCATTTTCAACACAACGTCACACACCCCGTGGTACTACAAAAGGGGGCTCCACCGAGGGCTTTTGGCCGATTTCGGCGCCCCCCTCACACGTTTCGTGGTCCCCAAAAGGGGGTTCAGCCAGCGCCGCAGGCCATTTCCAACACAACATCACACATCCCGTGGTACGACAAATGGGCTACACCGAGGGCTTCGGGTCGATTTCGGCGCACCCCTGATACGTTTCATGGCCCCACATAAGATGGCTCCATTCGGTTGATGGCAGCGCACCCCTCGCACGTTTCGTGGCCCCACAGTGTGCTTCAGCGTAATCCTCACGCCATTTTCAGTACAACCTCACCCATTCCGTGATAGCACAAGGGGCTCTACCGAAGGCATCGGGTTGCGCTCGGCGCACCCATCACACGTTTCGTGGCCCCACGAGGGGGGTTCGCCCGAAGGCCTCGTGCCCATATATTCACAATCCTCACGCATTTCGTAGCTTGAAAAAAAAGGTTCCTCCGAGGGCCTGGGGTGGTCGATTTTGGCACGCCCCATCACACATTTCGTTGCCCCACGTAAGGGAGTTGTCCATATCCTTCTGGCCATTTTGGCAGGGGGAGGAGGATGAGGGCGGGGAGGAGGAGGAGAAGGAGGAGGAGGAGGAGGAAGAGGAGGAGGAAGAGGAGGAGGAGGAGGAGGAGGAGGAGGAGGTGGATGGGGGAGGGGGAGATGGCGAAGGGGAGGAGGAAGAAGGGAAGGAGGAGGAGGAGGAGGAGAGGGAGGGGGAGGAGGAGGAAAAGGCGTTCCACCGAGGGGGGCTCTACCGAAGGTTCGGGGGCCACTTCCCTGCAACACTCGCACATAGCGTGGCTTCACAAAGGGCTCCATCGAGGGCCTCGAATCGATTTCGGCGAGGCGGCCTTCCTGCCAGGAAGCTGGATTCACGTGACGGGGGCGGTCTGGGCGAGAGCGGCATATCAATGTGGCCGCGCTAGAACGGCGCTCTCGCTGGAGACTTTCTCGCACTTCAGTCAGCGGCCGACAAGGAAGATATTCCCCCCCGAAAGGGGGTGCAATCGAAGACGAAGGGGGCGGGTATCGATGGTTGAGTATACAGAATGCAAGACACGCGTGCCAGTAATTACGACCAGTCTTAAGTGATTGTTGTCGTTGTCGTCGTCGTTGTAGTTGTTATTGTTGTTGTTGCATTCCCATTTCTGAAGAATACCTATTGTTGATCACCTCCTCCGGCGCACCTGGTGTTCTCGGATATTGAAGTACTCCTCCCGGGGCTCGCACTATGTTTTTAACAAGGGAAAACCCTGGCCTTCAAACAATATCGTTGGCCCCAGGGTTGCAACAACAGCGGTTTCTGTCTGTCTGATACTTCTTCACCATTTATTCCAAATTCGCGCTCTCGCGCGGGATTTCTGCATAATTTACGCAGGAATCGCGCTCTCGCGTGGTCCTTCCTTACACTTCACTGGGCGCCGTGCCCCCAAGATTCTGGAATCACGCTCTCGCTTTGGATTTCCTAACGATTTACTTGGAAACCGCGCTATCGCTTGAAACTTCCTAAACTTGGCGCTTCAGCGACCCGCCCGCTCGACCCGGCCGTCTGGGCCCGCCCGCCCGACCTGCCCGTTAGGGTCCGCCCGTCCAACCCGCTCGTTTGGTTCTGCTGGGTGTATTCCTGCTCTTAACCTTCCTCCAAATCTCTCTCGTGCTCCATGCTTCTTCCTCCCCCTTGTCCCTTCCCTCCTCCATTCCTTCCCCTGTTGTTGGGGGCTGCTCGAAATACTCGCGGCAAGTAGGGAAGATATAACCCCAAGGGGGTACGATTGAAGACGAAGATGGCGGGTATCGAGGGTCTGGGATATACGTATTGAATGCCACGCGAGCAGGTCAGAGCGATCCGTCTTAAAACGATTGTTGTTGTTGTTGTTGTTGTTGTCAATGAGTCGGATGATAGTGATGACGAATGGGGAAGCTAGGGTGGTACTGATGATGATGATGATGATGATGACGATGATGATGATGATGATGCTGATGATGATGATGATGATGATGATGATGATGATGATGATGATGATGATGATGATGCTGATGACGGTGTTGTTGTTCATGATGCTGATGATGATGCTAATGTTGTTGATGCTGATGATGTTGATGATGATCTTAAATGTTACTGCTGGCGGTGATCATGATGATGACTACAACGATGGCGAGGAGGATGATGTTCAGAACGTTGAGGCCGATGGTGATGATGATGGTGATGATGGTGGTGGTGGATGGTTGTGGTGGTGATTTTTCTAAAGATGATGATGACGAGGAGGAGGAGGTGAAGGAGAAGGGGGGCAAGGACGCTGCTGCTGCAACTGCTGCTGATGATGATGACGATGACGATGACGATGACTATGACGATGATGCTGATGCTGATGATACTGATGATAAGGATGATGATGCTGATGATGACGGTGCGGATGATGCTGACGATGATGCTGACGATGATGATGATGATGCTGATGCTGATGCTGATGATGCTGATGATGATGATGATGTTGATGATGCTGATGGTGATGGTGATGGTGATGGTGATGGTGATAGTGATGGTGATGGTGATGATGATGCTGATGATGATGCTGATGATGAAGATGATTATGATGATTAAGATGAACATGATGATGATGACGATGACGATGACGATGGCGATGATGGTGATGATGATGATGATGATGATGATGATGATGATGATGATGATGCTGATGCTCCTGATGATGATCATCATCATAATGATGAGTTGGAGGAGGGTGGGGTGCGGAGATGAAGGAACTGGAGGGGGGTGATGATGATGATGATGATGATGATGATGATGATGATGATGATGATGATGATGATGATGATGATGATGATGATGATGATGATGATGATGATGATGATGATGATGATGATGATGATGATGATGATGATGAGGAGGAGGAGGAGGAGGAGGAGGAGGAGGAGGAGGAAGACCGCCCGCTCGGGAACCAGCGCCCCTCTCCGAAGCTGCGTTGTCAGCTCAAGCAGAAGCCTGTCTCTGGCCGCGCTGCGGGCGCCATGCTCTCCACCGCAGGCGCCGCGACGGCGGGAAGAGGGCGAGGGCGAGGGGAGGAGGGCTTGGAGGAGCTCGGGAGGGAGGGATGGGATGGGAGGGAGGTGAAGAGAGAGAGGACGGAGGGAGAGAACGGGGGAGGGAGAAAAGGGAGGGAGTGATGAGGGGACGAGAGGGAGAGAACGGGGGGAGGCAGGGCGAGAGAGAACGCAGGGAGGGAGGGAGCAGGGATGGAGGGAGAGAGCGGAGGGAGGGTGGAGGGGACACTTCTTAAGGTCACCCCCAGGCGCGCGAAGATACTCGCGCTTCCCGCGTCGCGGCCAGGGAAGCTGCCTTTCTCCAGGGCGGCCTATCGAGGGCGCGTTGACAGCTCGGCGTCACGAGTCGTGGGGCGCGATGTGCGAAGTTAGGTGACCCAGGAAATTGGGATGGCGGGATGGCGGGGGAGGAAGGGGGAGAAGAGAACGAAAAAGGAGGTGGAGCAGGATGACGAGGAGGATACTTTCCAAGCTCGCTGTAAGCTTCAAGGGTATCTAGGCCTATCTTGATGGATGGGGCGGCCACCAAAGGACTACTGGAGGCTAAGCAACTGCAAATGCTGTTCCCACTAGTTGGCCGACAGCCGGCCACATCCTCACAGTAAGGCAGGGCACAATCGGCCACCTGCTGACACCACGGGGAGGAGTGGTGCCCATGGGCCCCTTCTTCATGCCAGCGGCCGTGGAGGGAGTGGTCCATGAGGGGACACGTAAGCAGCGGCCCCACTTCTAGGTTTCGGCCGTACTGCGGGGTGGGATTCCAATTCCCTCGGCGAAAACTGCGAATCCCCCCAGCTCTGACCGACCAGTCTGAGGCTCCACTGTCGGAGGCCCATTGGCCGGTCGTGGCGCCATGGAAGGTGACGTGGCAGGCTGGGGCTCGGGGGTTGCTAGAAGTTTCCCTGGCCCAGGGTGCCCCCCGGGATTTTCAGGGAGGCCCCGCGGGCCTCCGGAGCACCCACCTCGAGGCCCTGAGGGCCCCAGGGGCTTCAAAGTTGAGCGAAGAGCTGGGGCACCTTGAGCCAGGGGCACCTAGGCGGCTGGGCTCAAGCAGCTCGGCGCCCACCGCGCAGCCCGCCGCGCGCACGGGCGCGCGTGACATGCGCTGGTGGGGCGCCGATCTGATGCCGACGTGTGGGCTCCCAGAGGTGAGGCCCCGTTCGGCGACGGTGGGCCGCAACCGCCAGCGCGCGCAGAGGCGGCTGCGCCTCGCCATTTGCCGCCAGGTGGAGATCGACTGGCTCGCCATGGCGCAGGGTGTCTATGGCAACAGCGACGCCTGGAAGCAGGTCAAGTGCTGCCTGACATGAAGGAGGCGAGGATGGAGCCTTCCGCCAACAGCTACACCGATGTGATCAGCGAGTGCGGGAAGTACGAGGAGCAGTCCTGCGAGAAGGCGGACTCGTCGGAGAAGGCGGATTTGTCGGAGAAGGTGGACAAAGGAGCGGGGAAGGTGGATTCGTCGGCGAAGACGGACTTATCTGAGCATGCGGGCGATGAAGAGAACGGTGACGCGTTCGAGGAAGCGGGCTCGTCGGAGAAGACGGAGCTGTCCGAGAACGCGAGCGACGCGCTGCTGAAAGCGGACTCGTCGGAGAAGGCGGATCTGTCGGGGTCGGAGAAGGTTGTCTCGACCGAGGAGGCGGACTCGTCGGAGAAGGATGATCTGGAGCTGTCGGAGAAGGCGGACAGGCCATCGGAGAAAGCTGACTCGTCGGAGAAGGCGGAATCGTTGGGGACGGTGCATTCGGCAGCCACCGGAGACTCGTTCGAGAAGGCGGGATCGTCTGACTCGGGAGTTAGCAAAGCTATGTTGCACGCGCGGGAGGAGATAGGCATCCGATGGCTGGGGCTGGCGGAGTTCTGCGCCGCGCGCCGCTTCCAGAGCCGCGCGGCCGAGGCGGAAGCGGAACGCTGCGCCGAGGCCGGCCACGTGGCGGAATGTGCAGAAGCATCGAGCGAGGCTTGGCGCGTGGCGGTGCCACGGCACGCAGAAGTTGGGCCAGGCGTGAGTGCTGGGCAGTCGAAGGCCAGACTGTCAGACTGGATTGGGCCCCGAGGGCCAATCTGGCCCGGCCAAACTGGAGGATTTGGGCTATTCGCCAGACTGGATTCGCGTTGGCTCCCTCGCCAGACTGCCCCCGTTTGCCAGATGGGGCCTGCCAGATTGGCGCCAGATTGGCTTCGACTACCCAGGAGGAGGAGGAGGAGGAGGAGGAGGAGGAGGAGGAGGAGGAGGAGGAGGAGGAGGAGGAGGAGGAGGAGGAGGAGGAGGAGGAGGAGGAGGAGGAGGCGGCGCTGGAGCTCAGTGAGCTCCAGCGCCTGGCCTGCTCGGGCGCCTACCCGCAGTGGTCCCTGGGGGCCCCCTGGGGGGCTCGCGGGGCTCGCGGGGCTCGCGGGGAGTCGCAGGCAGCAGTCGGCCGACGGTTGGCACAGACGTTGAGCCGGGGCACTGTCAGCCACCCCCCGAGCGACGAGAGGAGTGCAACACCCTAGGCGATGCTTAAGAAAACCCAAGTTTTCGGCCAGAGTCTCGATTATTCTTAATGTTTCAGTGTAAATCCCAAGATTTGAATGGACATTCTGGGTTTTCATTCGGATGCTGAGACTATGAATTTCTTAACCCATGATTTCTAAAGCATTTCGCAGGGAGTACGATGGGATGTTGTCGGACGATGGCATGGCGAGCTCGCGTGCTCCGGTCTTCGGCTGGCCGTAGATCAGGAGGGAAAGAAACACACAGACACAACTAATCGTCGACTCCCAGGAAAATACAGGAAAATAGGGGAAGTGGGGGGGAAGGCAAAAACCCAGAAAACATATGGGAAAATATGGGGAATCTTTTTATTTGTGTGTATTTATTTGTGTGTCCTGGGGCCCCCTCCAGTAGAGAACACGGCACAGATGTACAAAAGAGAGGCAGGGAGCGGGCGGGGGGCGGCCCACACGGCCAGGCAACGAACCATTGGGAGCCTGCCGAGAGTGCGCTGCGCAGAGGCTCGAGACGGTCGAGGAGCGAGCGACGCGGGGGTGGCCTATTGGCGGGGGAGGCGAGGGCTCCTGCGCGATACCATGACTTGGCCTGCCGGAGGAAGAGGGGAGGATGGAGGATGGAGGAGGGAGGAGGGAGGAGGGAGGGAGGGAGGAGGGAGGAGGGAGGAGGAGGGAGGAGGGAGGAGGGAGGAGGGAGGAGGGAGGAGGGAGGGAGGAGGGAGGAGAGGGAGGAGGGATGAGGAGGGAGCAGGGAGGAGGAGGGAGGGAGGAGGGAGGAGGGAGGAGGGAGGGAGGAGGAGGGAGGAGGGAGGGAGGAGGAGGGAGGAGGGTGGGAGGGAGGGAGGGAGGGAGGGAAGGAGGTGGGAGGGAGGGGGGAGGAGGGAGGGAGGGAGGGAGGGAAAAGGAGGAGGAGGAGGATGAGGAACAACAGGAATAATCTTATTAACATTCATAAGACGAAGACTAAGGATAACAATACTAGGAATAAAACTATTAATAATAATAAGAAGCATGCTCATACAGATACGACGAATCATACTCATACTAAGAACAAGAAGAATACTTCTAATCATAAGAATTATAATGCAACTCATAAGTACAATCCTACTACTAATAATACTAATCGTACCACTACTAATAGTAATCATACAAACAAGACCATTCATGCTTATACGAAGAAGAATGCTACGGATGATCGTATTATTACTCATACTATTACGACTAAAACGAATACTAATAATCCTAATATTCAGACGAATAATACAATTATTAGTCGAATGATAATAATAGTAATTCTTAGCATGATAATCAGAATAAACATGCGAACCATATGACAATTAATAATACTCAGACTAATAATAGCAGTACTATCAAACATAGTACTAAAACCAATAATATTAGCAATGACATTTCACATGATAGGAGAAGGAGGAGGAGGCGGAGGAGGAGGCGGAGGAGGAGGAATAGGAGGAGGATGAGGAGGAGGAGGACGAGGAGGAGGAGGAGGAAGAGGAGGAGGAGGAGGAGGAGGAGGAGGAGGAGGAGGAGGAGGAGGGGGTTGCACTGGTCTGTCTTCCTCCTCCTCCTCCTCGTCGAATCGAGCCAGCGCAAACATTGATTGAGGCGCGCGGATTAGCGAAATGTTCTGTTTCGATTGGAACTACGCGTTCTGTCGCGAGTTCAGGCGGCATTGGCTTCATGTTTCGGTGAGTGCTTCCCCAATCCGTGGATCTGGCGCCCACGCCCCTGATCCACGCTTTCTCAATCCATGTTAGCGTGCGCCCGATCTAAGGGGCGGCCCTGAGATCCGAGGTGGCGAAATCTGTTGCAACATCGTTGGAACTCGCGACCACAGCCCGTGACCCCATCTTTTTTTATATCATCTTTCGGGCTGAACCGATCTGTGAGGGTCCGGGGGCCCGAAGCCGGGGGAGAACGCCCTGCTCGAACAGATTGAGAGGCCAGGATCTCGGGGTGTGCCCGATCGACGGGACGACACCGACGGCGCCGACGCTGGCGGCTGCGACTGCGGCGGCGGCGGCGAGCGACGCTCGCGCGCCCAGAACCGCGGGCAGCTGGCGCGCTGCTGCTCAGCACCGACGTGCTCGGTGGCGCCCCTCCGCAGCGCAGCCTCGCCGGGCACCTGGCGGCGCCCTCGGCGCCGCGCTTCGCGGCGCCTCCGCCCCCTGGCCTGGCCGACGAGCCCGCGCCAGGCTGCACGACGACGTCGCCGCTCTGGGGTCGGGAGGGGCCCGCTGCTCCTTAGGTCATTTCGTGGTTGTTCCTCGAGGCCTCCTCGTGCACCCAGGCGCTTCTGGTGCCAGAAATGGGACGGAGAAGTCGCGGTCAGAGCCGACGACGGCGACGGCGTCTTCGTTTCGGAAATTTCTGCTTATTCTGCTTGAGGTTTCTCTCTGGATGCCCCCTGGGGTTTCTGGAGGCTGTCGCGGCGGGTGAAGGTGTCCAGGATGGAACCA